AAGGAGGAGTTTGGCAGGGTGATACGAAAGTTGAAGAGAAACAAGGCAGCAGGGGAGGATGGAGTCCCAAACGAAATCTGGATGTTAGGTGGGGAGGAAGCAAGAGACTGGGCATGGAAAATATGCAATAGAGTATGGAGAGGAGAAGGCTGGCCAGAAAAATGAAAAGGGGGGATTATAGCTCCGATAAAAAAGAAGGGGTCGGGAGAAAAAGCGGAGGGCTACAGGGGAGTAACGCTAATGCCGACTTTGTACAAAATTTACGCATCGGTGTTAGCAGAAAGATTGAAGGAGGATATGGAAGAGAAATAGCTGCTACCACAATGTCAGACAGGATTCAGGAAGGGAATGGGAACAACGGAAAATATCTACGTGCTCAACTACCTAATAAATAGGCAGATAGGGAAGAAAGGAGGAGGGATGGTGGCGTTGTTTGTAGACCTAAAGGCGGCATTTGACTCGATAGATAGGGAAACTCTGTTCAGGGCGATGAGGGAGAGAGGGATAAGAGAGGGAATAAGAAGAAGAGTGGAAGAAATTTATAGGGAGACGTGGAGTAAGGTTAGGATAGGAGAAGATACAGGAAGAGCTTTCTGGACGGCAAAAGGGGTGAGGCAGGGGTGCCCGCTAAGTCCGTACCTATTCAATGTGCTGTTGGCGGACATAGAGGACAGATTTAAAGAGGAAGGGTGGGGAGGGATAAGAGTGGGAGGAGAGAAAGTGTTCGTACTAACATACGCAGATGATATAGTAATTCTGGCAGAAGAGGAAGTAGGAATGGGAATGATGCTGAAAACGCTGGAAAAGTATCTAGAAGAAAAGAGACTGGTTTTGAACACCGGAAAAACAAAGATGATAAGGTTTAAAGAAGGAGGTGGCAGGAAAAAAGAATGGAGATGGATATGGAACGGAAAGCCAATAGAGGAGGTGAAGGAGTACAAGTACCTGGGATATGTAGTGGGGAGGAACGGGACACAAGGAAAACAAATAAGAGACAGAATTAGAAGGACAGCAGCAGTGATGAGACAGGTCTGGGGGATAGGGAAAAGGAGATTTAAAGCGGACTGGGAAAGAAGGATGTGGCTGTATGATAGGTTGGTCTGGGCGGTAATGAGCTATGGGGCGGAGGTATGGGGTTGGAGGGAGAGAGAAGAGATGGAGGCTGTACAAGATAGGTACCTGAGGTGGACGCTGGGGGTGCATTGGGGGACACCGGGTTACCTAGTTCGGGTAGAGACGGGGAGAGGAAAGATGAGGAGCTGGGCAGGAAAAAGAGCATGGCACTATGAAAGAAAAATAGAGGAGGGGGGTGGTAATGGGTGGGCAAGGAAGTGTCTGCAGGAAATAAGAGAAAGGGCGAAAAGGGGAGAGAGACTGTCAACTTGGGAGGAGGAGAGGATAGATTTTTTAAGAGAAAGAGGGGTGGAAGCAGAAGAAATGGAAAGGAGGGGAGGTTTAGGAGGTTGGGAATGGGAAGAGATAGAAAGAAGAGACAGGGATGAACAGGAGAAGGAAAATAGTGAGAGAATAATAAACTCGAACTATAATAAATGGTATAAGCAGGTAAAAAGCAGGGGTACGGCGGAGTACCTGAGGAAAGGATGGGGGGAGAGCAGGTGGCAGAGGATGGCAAGGTACAGGCTAGGGAATGAGGTGAGAGAAGGGAGATACTGGGAACCGGAGGAGAAGAGAAGATGTAGGTTATGCGAAGGGGAGGAGGAGACATGGGAGCATGTATGGGAAAGATGTGGAAGAGGAGGAGGGGGGCGGGTAGCTGGCAGGAAAGAGTGAAGCAATTGCTGGGAGAGGAGGGGGAAGGAGAAGGATGGATGAGGGAGCTGGAGAAGGCAAGGGAAACAGGGAAAGAAAAAACAGCATAGGGAGGCGATAGGAGAGAAAGAAAAAAAAATAAAGGAGCGAGAAAAGGGCGAATGAATGAAGGGAAGGTGTACGAGAAGAGTGAATGGGAGGAACCGGAAACCTAGGGAGGAGATCAGGGGGTGAAATTGCTACCGGTATGCTAAACCGCGGTTAGATATAAGGATAGAAATAAGGATAGGTGTAAGGGTAAAACTAAGAATAGAAATAAGGTAGTATTAAGATAGAATTAAGATAGAATTAAGTTATAGTTAGAAAAGCGGAGAGAGAGAGGTCGAGTAGAGAAGCGAGCGATGGCGGCGAATAAGATTTTTAGCATATAAGTAGTAATACGTAAGAATGAGTTTGTAAAAATAAGTGTGAAGGAATGGTAACCCCAAGGGGAATCCAATAAAAACCATACCATATATGAATTTAAAATAGATTAAATTTAATTTTGATATTATATATATATATATATATTTCATGATTTATATAAAATATTCAAATTTTAAATAAATTTAAAATTAAATTTAATTTGGATATTGTAATATATTTTTATGATTAATATGAAATCTAAAAATTTAAATATATAATAAATACATTGATCTATGGAAAGGAATTAATATAAAATATAATCGATGTATTTTTTATTATAAAAATTTAAATATATAATAAATATTGTGACCCGCTTGGGGGTTCACTCCGCGGTACAAAATCTACACTTGCGTTGGGCGCCAGCCACTTTTCGTGGCAAACAAAATCGAAAGTGGGAAAGGGGGTAGAATGGGGGTCGCTACAGGGGATGGGACTTGTGGCACTTACGTCCTTACAATAATTCGCGGGGGAGTGCGCAGGGAGGATTGTCTAGGGCTGGGAGAGATCTCAGGGTAGGAGGAAGGGTTCTCAGAAAAGCTCGTGTACGTTACGCGTAGGAGGATTCGTAGACGGGACTGATAGGGGTTGGACGAAGGGAATTCGCAAAATACAGAAATCTTTGGAGAATCACGATACGCGAACGCGCATGTACGCGGGCGAAGATTTCCGTTGCCAGAACTCACGCTTTACAATTAGTATCGAAAGGGACTCACCCAAAACACCTCGCACACAAATCTCACTCCTATAAACTTTCTCTGCCAAAATCTCTTTAATCGCTTTTACAATACTCTATACTTTGCTATGCTAGCCTAAGGCTCAATGACGGTTCGCCGTCGCTGCTGCGACGACGAGACCGTCGCGGGATGGTTTTGGGGAAGGGATGGGACTAGGAAGGGGGGCCTCTTCTGGCAATGGGATAGATCGATTATCGATTGTCGATCTGCCGGTGATCGGGGTCGATGGGGTTGACGGATTTCCTGCGGCGGCGGGTGGGCCGAGGTCTTCGGCCTCGGCGACAGATGGCTCCGGGTGGGCGTTTGCAATCTTCTGGGCAGCTTCGTCCAATTTTCCGAAGTCCCGCGTTGCTCCTTTCTTTTGGAAGGGTTGAAGGACTGTCGCCGGCCTCGTAGCTCCTTCTAGAGTTGTCCGCTTCTTGGGGTTCTTTCCGACGCCTCCATCGGCCCGATACCGGCGGGCAGGGGGAAAGGGGTATGGTGAGGGAAGGGTTAAGGGTTATCTTTAGGTGGGAATGTGAGGTGGGAGAAGCGCAGCGATTGTAACGGGGGGCACAGGTGTCACCACGTTACAATATATTGATCTATGGGAAGGAATTAATATATTTGAATAAAATATAATCGATGTGTTTTTATTATAAAAATTTAAATATATAATAAATATATTGATCTGTGGGGAGGGATTAATATAAAATATAATCGATGTATTTTTTATTATAAAAATTTAAATATTGTAACGTGGTGACACCCGTGCCCCCCCGTTACAATCGCTGCGCTTTCCCCCACGTTACACCTCCACCTCAAAACCACCCGTAACCCTTCCCTCACCTAACCCTTTCCCCCTGTTCACCGGTGTCGGGCCGATGGAGGCAAAAGAAGACGGATAAGGAACACCCACAGCAGGAGCTACGAGGCCGGCGACAGACTCCTAACCGTCCTCCAAGGAAACGGAGCAACGTGGGACTCCGAGGAAAGAGACAAAGCTGCCCAGACCATGCAAACGTCCACCCGGAGCCAACTGTCGCCAGCCCGAAGACCTCAACCCACCCGTCATCGCGGGATATCCGCCAGCCCCATCGACCTCGAGCACCGGTGTATCGAAGATCGATAATCGATCTATCCCGTTGCCGGAAGAGGCCCGCTTTCTAGTCCCATCCCCTCCCCAAACCATCCCGCGACGGTTTCGTCGTCGCAGCAGCGACGGCGAACCGTCATTGAGCCCTAGGCTAAGCGAGAGTGCAGAGAGTGAGAAAAGCGATTTTGGAAATTTAGAAAGCGATTAAGCGAGAGAGTGAGAGAAGTTTGGGTGAGTCTCTTAACGTACCTATTGTAATTGCGAGATCGAGGCAACGGCTATTTTCTCCGCCCGCGCATTGTTCGAAGTAGAGACGACTCCCCCTTTTCCGCTTTTCCCCCCTTCGATTTCCCAACCACAGCTATTTCCTCATCCGCGTAACGTAGACGAACTTTCCTGCGAACCCCTCTTCCGACCCTAGAGACTTCCCTGCCCACAATAATCCTCCTTGCGTACTCCCCCGCGAAGCATTGTACGGACGTAAGTGCCCCGAGACCCATCCCCTGTAAGACACCCACAATCACCCCCCCTTTTTCCTTTTTTTGATCTTGATCGCCACAGCGAGTGGCTGGCGCCCAACGTTGAGAGAGAATATTGTAAAGGAAAGTGCGAGTAGAACAGTATAGAGTGAACCCCCGAAGAGGGTCACAATATATATACATAATAAATATATTGATCTGTCTGAAGGAATCGAAATATTTTAATAAAAATATAATCAATGTATTTTTATTATAAAATTTAAATATATAATAAATATATTAGTTTGTGAAAAATTAATTTAAAATATAATCGATAAATTTTTTATTATAAAATTAATATATAATAAATATATTGATCTGTGGAAAGGAATCAATATAAAATATATTATTATTATTATTATTATTATTAATCTTATTGAGGCTAGCCGGGAACTCAGTCCTTGGGGACCATTGTACCCGAGCCGCTAGGCAGCCTCTTTACTGGCTGAGCCTTGGCAGCTGGGCTTCTGTGGCAAAATTTAGAAGCACCGGCACCAGGCCACCCGAGATGCTTAATGAAGAGGGTTCCAAGGTCCCCAGGATTGATCCTCTTAGGGCCCTTAGTTCCCTGCATCTTAGAAGTACGTGGAAAGGTGTTTCGTCCTCTTCCTCACACCTCGGACATACTGTCTCTTCTGTGAGTCTCATGCGCGCGATGTGTTTCTTCGTGTACCAGTGTCCTGTCACTAGGCCCACGAGCATGCGCAGTCGCGCCCTGTCCAGGTGAATTAGGGTGTCACCCAGCTTCTGTGACGGTCCCTCAAATAGGGCCCTCGCGTGTCTCATGCCATTAGCGTTATGCCAGAGCCTGGTGAATTCCTGGTGTAACCAGTCCTTAGCCAGGCCTTTCAACGCATAGGTTGAGACACCAATCTCATTCCAGAGGGGTACTCATGGCATGGCTGGGAGCTTGTCGCCCCCAGTCGTGCCAATTCGTTAGCCCTCTCGTTACCTGGGATACCAGCGTGACCTGGTATCCATAGCAGCTTAACTCTGTTGTTCAGAGATAGCTGTCTCAAAGTCAGTGTACAGTCCTTGACTAGCTTAGACCCTACCTGCACTCTATGGAGGGCTCTAAGCGCAGCAATACTGTCACTGCAGATGTAGATGTGTTTGCCCGAATGGTCTTTTTCCAAGTTATATTTGGCGTAGGCCCATATGGCAAACACTTCTGCTTGGAAGACCGTAACGTGGTGGCCCAGTTTATAGGTCATTTCAACCTTTGGGCTCTCCCCAGCTATCCCGGCTCCGGTGCCAGACCCGGTCTTGGAGCCGTCTGTGAACCAGACCAGCCCCCCCGGAGTCAGGATGCCGCTAGGGTCCTCCCGCCATTCCTCCCTATCTGGGATAATTAAGTCATATTCCCGTCTGAAGAGGTACTCCGTCTTGCAGCGGTCACCACCGTGGGTCAGAATTAGCTCCGATCCCCGATCCCTTAGGATCTCGGTGTGCCCGCCGCTCGCCAGGCACCATTCTTCAGCTTGGTGCAGGCGGATGGCCGCTCTCCAAGCCGTTGCCATCACTGTTAAATGGGGTGGCTTGATGTCGAGCAGCGCACCCATAGCCATAGTGGGCGTGGTGGGAAGCGCATCTGTTATCCCCAGCAACGCTATTCGGTATATTCATTCTATTGTCCTTCTGTGTCCTTCCCTCTTCATAGAAATCCACCACACAATTGAGGCGTATGTTATAATGGATTCAAGGACCTGGTATATCCACCTGATCATCCTTGGTTTGAGTCCCCGTGTGGGGCTAAACATCCTGCGGCAGGCCCAGTAGGTGCTGATTGCTTTCTGGGTCTGTCTGTTCACGTGGTTCTTCCAGGTGAGTTTTTTATCTAGTGTGACACCAAGATATTTTACCTCATCTGTGAGTTGTAGTTGCGTCCCAAAGAGATGAGTAGCCTTAAAATAGAAGCGTCTTCTCCTTGTGAATAGGACCAACTCCGTTTTGCTCGGGTTTACCGAGAGCGAGTGTGATCGACACCATGATTCCACAAGTGTGATAGCCTTTTGCAATCTTCTCGCTAATTCCAGCGGGTGTCTGCCTCTGACCGTGATCGTAAGGTCGTCGGCGTAACCCTGAACCGCAAAGCCTTCTGTGGTGAGTATACGTATGAGTTCATCAACCACGAGGGTCCACAGCAGGGGGGACAGGACTCCTCCCTGCGGACAGCCCCTCGCGACGTCGGCCCTCACCGTCTCCTCTCCCAGGCTTGCTGTGACTGTTCTATTCGTCAGCCTATTGTGGATCCATCTTACGACGGAGTCCTTAATATTGTATCTCATCGCGGCTTCCTGTATAGCATCGTGGGGGGTGTTGTCAGCCCCCCCCCCCCCCCCCCCCACCCCTCAATGTCGAGGAAGATACAGAGAGCAGATTCACCGTTCGACAGTGCACCTTCGATGGAACCTACCAGGTTGTGAAGTGCCGTCTCGGTGGATTTGCCGTTTTGGTAGGTGTGTTGTGAGGGGTGCAGCGGTTTGCTGGCCAAAACCTCATCTCTAATGTACCTGTCAACCAGCCTCTCCAGCGTTTTGAGCAAGAAAGAGGTGAGGCTGATGGGTCTGTACGACTTGGCAAGGTCATAGTTGTCCTTCCCTGGCTTCGGGATGAACACTACCTTGGAGTATCTCCAGGCTTTGGGTACGTAGCCCTTCGCTAGGCAGGATTTGAAGATTTGGCCCAGGCGCCTGTACAGGTCCTCTCCGCCCTCTTGTAGGAGTACTGGGAAGATCCCGTCAGTGCCTGGGCTCTTGAATCTTCACAAGGAGCCGATGGTCCACCTCACCCTGTCCATGTTTATCACCTTCTCAGCTGTTCCCCAGTCCGCTGAAGCAGAGTCGGTGCACGAGTTATGTGACGACACATAACCCCAGTCTTATCACCTCAGGCAGGACGTGGCACTGCAACAGACATAACAAAGTTCCGACTCGAGGATGAGAATAAGACAAAGAGAAAAAGAGAGCTTACCATCGCCTCGACGACAATTCATTCATTCAGTGTTGAACCATCGACCTAAGCTGTCGACCTGTACGGACAAAGTAAACGTGTATAATTAAAAGAATATTGTATATTTACTTACCTCCTGTCACTTAACTGGCGCTGCGGACAGGATACTGCGAGGCTGTTGAATCTGGATTTTTCTCCAATTGTGTGACGAAAATCACTGACGAGGAAGCAGCTGGTGTTTCAACCCCATTGTCGCAGTGTCAACACGATCAGGCCACCTTTCGGCACTGACACGGAGAAGTAAGTCTTTGAAATTTCCTATCTATACGTATATATATATATATATACTATATTCCTACTTTGCCCCTATCCAATACGATTGATCACGTACATTAATTCTGACCCGTTATAAATAAGTGTAAGCGAAATAATGGCTCAACTTACATTTGACCAATTTAAAATGAGATTATTTGTATGGCGCGACGCGATCCCAATGTACGAGGGAGGGACAAGACTTTTGTCTCATTTTATTCAGACATGTGACAAATTCTCGGAAAATCTTACAACGAACGACAATGCGATCAACGAGTCGCTGTATGCTCTTATCAAGTCGAAGCTACGCGGAGAGGCACTTGATTTGGTAGTTGTTAATAAACCCATAGACTGGCCCCATTGTAGGACACTCTTAATTAATAGATATAGCGATCCTCGTTCGGAAGAATTACTATTTAGCAGACTCAGTACTTGTTACCAGCAATCTAATCAAACGTACGAAGAATACGCCGACGAAATCAAAAATCGTTTGAATAAGCTAAAAGACCATATACAACTAAATAATCAGGATAACAATATAATTGCTATGAAAAATAACTTTTATGATAACATTGCGAAAAATGTATTTACTAACGGAATTAAACAGCCGTATCATTCGCATCTGACGCATTTTGAAATGACTGACATCGAGGACTGTCTAACAAAATGCCGAAAATACGATAACCACGAGCAACAAGCAGCTTTTCTTACCTTCATGAGACAACGCGAGAACAGACCTAAAACGAGCACGTTCAATACAGCAGGAATTTCGAGGAATACCAATTTATTTACACATGGAACTTCCGGAAACATAAACCCGTTTCAACAACGTGCAGCTATTGCACAGAAACCATTTGCACCAATAAATTTCGGAAACAGTAATAATTATAGACCAAATAGTAATCAACCTAGGAATCAAAATCCTCAGCCTACACCTATGTCGATTAGTACGAGAAACACTAACAGACCGAATAATAACCTTAATAGGCCTAATAACAATTTTATACAACCAAGTAATAATTTTATGGCGAGACCAAATAACTTCTTCAGAAGCACAGGACCTCCGAACTTCGTAGCGGAAGAACTTCATCATCAGGAAGAACAGCAACAAAATTTAGAAAATCAGGAAGAAGTTAATCACGAAAATTTTCCACAGGACCCCGACACGAATCAAGAGATATAGTAAACCTAAATTCGATTGGAAGTTCGCCTGAACTTCCACATATTATCACGGCTGACCCGCCACTTAAAATTCTTATTGATTCAGGAGCGTCTTCATCAATTATTAATCCCGAAATAGCCTATCGCCTATTTTCCGAATATATTTTTCCATATAATTTCGAAATCAAATCAGTACATAAAGTAACAAAGGGTACACGTGCACTCACTTTTCCGATTTTACGTGAATTAGGAGACGAAACACCTATTACTTTCCTCATAGCGCAATGGCATTCTACTTACGATTGCTTAATTGGAAACAAAGACCTGCAAAAATTAGAAGCAAGTATAAACTATAAAACTCGAATATTTAGTACGACGAAGTTCGAAATAAACTATCTAAACAATATACCGGGAAAATGCGAGGCCGCTGGAACGAACCGTCATCGAGAAATAATAACACGGATAAGGACCAGCCACATGAACAGCGAGGAAAGGGATAAAATTACAAACCTATGCCATCGATATAAAGACTGCTTTTATAATGAGGATAAGAAATTATCAGCCACTAGTGCAGTTGGCCACAATATCCGAACAAAAGACGAATATCCAATTTACGTCAAAAGTTTTCGCTACCCATACCACTTAAAACAGGAAATACAAGAACAAATAAGAAAACTACTGAAAGACGAAATAATTCGTCCTAGTAATTCGCCTTATTCTTCGCCCGTCTGGATTGTACCGAAAAAGAGTGACGCAAGTGGGAAGAAGAAATGGAGAATGGTAATTGACTATCGCAAGTTAAATGACAAAACTATTGAAGATAAATACCCACTCCCGAGGATGGATGACATTTTAGAGAATTTAGGTAAATGTACCTATTTTAGTACATTGGACTTAGCCCAGGGCTTTCATCAGATCCCTGTACACGAGGGTTCCATAGAAAAAACAGCTTTTACAGTGGAAAATGGTCGTTACGAGTATTCTCGAATGCCCTTTGGGCTGAAAAATGCCCCTGCCACTTTCCAGAGGATGATGGATAAAGTTTTAAGAAAGTATCTGCACAAATTTTGTTTCGTCTACATGAATGACATTGTAATATTTTCAAAATCATTGCAAGAACATTTGCAACACCTAAAACTCATATTTGATGAATTAAGAACGTATGACTTGAAAATACAACTGGATATGAGCGAATTCTTACGAAAAGAAGTACCGTTTTTGGGACATATTATCACACCTTGTTCTCGGCGAGAATTGGAATTTTTGGGATGGCGTGGATTCCGTCTTTTCAAAGACGTGGGCGTCGAGGAGAAGATAAACGACACAGCTTAGCGGTCACGAATTATGTATTACTGATAATTTGTACACAATGAGTCGTAAATTAAACTTTACAAAAATCACCTTTGGTTTAATTTGGAATTACACGATTTAGGAATCCGCGGTGCAAGGCACTGAATTGAATTTGAGAATGCTCGAAACTCGAGTAAAGAAACGTTTTTGGTCGCTGTTGTCGCTTGGTAATCGCTCTCTCACTTGCTTTCGCATTAATGCTAACGGTTCGAATTTGGGAGTTTTAATTGGCGAGCACTCGGATCGGTGGTTAGACAGCGCAACAGCGATTCCGTTTACTTGCTAGGTGACGACGGGATTATCGACCCGTGTTATCGACCGAGGTGTTTGTATGAATTGAAGTGCCAAATTCGAACACACCGCCCCCCCGTTGAATCAATTCATTCAACGTGAAGTGCGTAGTATTAATAACGTGGAACGCCCAAGATTGTAATGCGGAAATTTTTCTTGCGGTGCTTACATGCGATGAGACAACGCTTACGGTGAGTGCAATTTTAAATTCTAATTACTTACTAGATTATGGATTATTAATTAATAGCTAGAACGAGACATACGAATTAATAAAGAAATAGAATAATTACGAATTAACATTAAGAACCGAACAAAGTGCGGATTTGATACGTGAATAGACATGACTTTAATTGCGCAGTTTGCTTTTACGTCGTAGATTTCTCGCTTTCGGTGACAAGTGTGATTGGAAGGAAACAAAGTTTCGCAATAGGGCGCTTATATTCCCCGGACGACGTTTTTACGCTGACGACTCGGATGAGGTTATCGTCTCCTGGGTGGCACTTGATAATGCGGCCAAGTTCCCATCGGCAAGGCGGAAGATTTTGGTTGCGAAGCAGGACAAGTTGACCGACTTGAGCGAGATTTTGCGTCGTCTTCCATTTTGGGCGTTGGTGCAACGTATGCAGGTAATCATTGCTCCATGTCTTCCAGAATGTTTCGGTCATTTTTTGCAAACATTGCCAACGAGATAGTCTATTGTCTCTTAATTCTAGTACGCTCGGTTCTGGTGAAGTTACTAACGGTGCTCCGATTAAAAAATGACCTGGTGTTAATGCTCGGTAATCGTCAATGCAGTCGGATATGGGTCCTAGCGGTCGTGAATTAAGGCAGGCTTCGACTCGACATAGAAACGTTGTCATTTCTTCAAAAGTGAGAGTATGAGAGCCGAGGCTTCGTTTTAAATGATATTTGGTGCTTTTGACTGCGGCTTCCCATAGTCCACCGAAATGAGGAGCATTCGGAGGCAAAAAGTGCCATTCTATTCCGTCGGTTGCAAGTCGATTGCCGAAATTGGCGTTTTGAATTGAAGAGTTAAATGCGGCTCTTAATTCACGATTCGCTCCTTGGAAAGTGGTTCCATTGTCCGAGTACATTGACTTCGGAAGACCGCGGCGCGAGATGAATCGATGATATGCTGCGAGAAAGGCTGCAGAACTATAATCGCTTACGAGCTCTATGTGGATCGCCTTAACTGTTAAGCAAATGAATATCGCGATGTATGCTTTATGCGCTTTATAGCCACGACCGGAATTGGTTCGCACCTGAATTGGACCAGCATAATCGACGCCAGTATGTATAAATGGTCGCTCCGTTTTGGTGACTCTCGGTGATGGCAAGTTTCCCATGAGCTCATTCGGCACGATTGCTTTCTCGCGGGTGCAAGAGATGCACTTGTACAAAACATTTCGTACTGTAGCGCGGGCGCGAATTATCCAGTACTCGTTTCGTAAATGTGCCAGAGTGAGTTGAGGGCCCGCGTGTAACAATTGGCGATGAGTACATTCTATTAGGAGTGTTAGGAGCGGGTGTGACCGAAGAATAATCGGATTTTTTGCGTTTTCAGGAAGCTTGGAATTGGTGAGCCGTCCTTTTGCGCGGATTAGGCCGTCGGTGTCTAAATAAGGACACAGAGAAAGGAGAGCGCTTGTTTTTGGGACTGGCTTGGACTTTGCTAAGGCTCCCTTCTCCTCCGGAAAAGCGTTGGATTGAAGCTCCTTTAACCAAAAGAGTTTTGCTTGGTTGATAACTTCTGGCTTGAGAATCAACGGCGGAGCAGTAGGTTGGCTTATAATGGTGAGTTTTTGATTAGTTTTGCTTTGGATGCGAGTACGAAGTGTACGAATGAAATGAATTAAATATGCGGTAACACGTAAGAGCTTTGTCCATGAAGAATAGCGATTGGCTAATTCCCATTGCTCAACACAGGTTGCGAGACTTGGAAGGGCAGGACTTCTTTTCTCGTGCGACAGATCGTCGTCTGTTTGTGGAATAGACTGAGGCCAGAAATTAGACGCTTTTATTAACCAAGGAGGGCCGGACCACCATAACTGGTGAGTTTCTAACTTGTCAATGTTTATTCCGCGAGAAGCGCAATCAGCAGGATTTTCGGCTGTTGGTACGTGATGCCATTGAACATCGGGAATTAGTTGCTGAATTTTTGCTACGCGGTTCGCGACGAAGGTTTTCCAGCGATTAGGAGGCTGTCTTAGCCACGCGAGTGTGATGGTAGAGTCAGTCCAACAATGACTCTCAAGCATCGGTGCATTTAACGCTGTTCGAACGAATGTTAATAGGCGAGCTAATAGCAAGGCGGCAGATAATTCCAATCGAGGAACGCTCAAAGTTTTGACCGGAGCTACTCGTGTTTTAGCGATTACGAGAGAGGCACAAATCGTACCATCGTAAAGAACGTTTCGCGAATATACGGCTGCAGCGTAGGCTTTGGTTGAGGCATCTGAGAACCCATGCAGACTTTGACTTCTAAAGATGTTATAAGCTATCTTTCGCGGTATGGAGATGTGCTCCAACTTGGGCAATTGTGAGCAAAATTTTTTCCATTCCTGAAGAAACGTCGATGGAGGAACATCGTCCCAGTCGCAACGATTGGACCACAGCGTTTGCATATAGATTTTGCCGGTAATAATTATTGGAGCAATCCATCCAAGTGGATCGAACAATTTTGCGATAGTGGAAAGAATTGAACGTTTAGTCTGCGGACGGTTGATTGGCTCTGAAAGTTTAAATTGAAATTGATCTAATGCAGGATTCCACGTTAGGCCAAGTACGGAGATTGTTTCGTCTCCTTGCAAGGATTTACTTGTGGCAAGCCCATAATTTTTTGGATTAATATCGGACATAAGCTCCGGATTGTTGCTTGCCCACTTTCGTAAAACGAATCCACCCTTTGCTAGAAGGTCGATCGTCTGATCGCGTAATTGACGGAGTGAGTTGAGGCTATCTCCTCCGAAGATGAAATCATCAACATATGCTTGATCCTGTACGACGGAAACTGCTTGAGGAAAGTTGGCACCTTCGTCTTCGACGAGTTGGTGTAAGACACGAATAGCTAAATAGGGGGCTGATGCTGTCCCGTAGGTAACAGTGAGCAATTGATACTCATTTACTGGTTTAAGAGGCGAGTCGCGCCAGAGAATCCTCTGATAATCGGTATCTTCTGGATGCACAAGTATTTGACGATACATTTTCTCAATGTCTGCAGTATATACATATTGAAATTGACGCCATCGAATCAAGATCGAAACAAGATCTTGTTGAAGTTTTGGTCCTGTGAACAAATGATCATTCAAGGAGGTTCCGTCGGAAGTTCGACGGGATGCGTTGAAAACAACGCGAAGACGTGTAGTCACACTGCTCTCGCGAATTACAGCATGATGCGGTATGTAGTAGCAGTTTTTGTGCGAGGATGGAAGAGGATCAACTTGTTTCATATGGCCGAGGGTTTCGTACTCGGACAGAAACTCTTGGTAAGGTTTAGATACCGCTGAATTGCGAATGAGGCGATTTTCTAACGATCGAAGACATCGAAGTGCTACTGAGCGTGATTCGCCTAAATTTATTGATGATTGTGTTTTGAAAGGAAGGCGAACAATGTACCGTCCGTCATTTGCGCGAGAATGCGTGGTTTTAAAATGCTCTTCGCAAATCTGATTTTCAGGAGTTGTGATTGTTGGAGCTGAGAGGTCCTCGATTTGCCAAAATCGACAAAGGTCTTGGTCGAGGTTTTCCAAAACGGAAAGATGGTGAACTCCTACTGAGGAAGGTGAGGATACTCGCTGGGAAGGACCGGACAGGATCCACCCGAGGGTAGTGTTTTGTGCCGTCGGGGTACACGCGGAGCCTTTCCTCAGCCCTGGCAGCAAAAATTGACCATAAAGATCTGCTCCGATTATGATGTCGATTGGATCCGAGCTCATGGGTTCGTTGTCTGCGAGTTCCAAATCTGCAAGGTGAGACCATTTGAAATTTGTTGGGTTTTTTGAAGGCACGTACCTTGTGAGTGATCGCAAAATGATCGCTGTAGTCGAATATGCTGGCTTATCTGATCTACTTGGCGTGATAATTATTTCTGCGGTGTGGCTTGCGTGTGATTGATTTTCTCCAATTCCGATGATTTTGGTTGGCTGTTTTGTACGCAGAAGACGGAGTGTTTGAGCGAGATTCTCCGTTATAAGGGTTGCGACGGAACCTTGATCCAGAAGAGCTCGAGCGTTAACGGATCGACCCTGACTCGAGCGAATTTGAACGCGCGCTGTTGAAAGAAGAATACATGAGCCTTTTGGAGAATTTGACGCTACGTCAGTACTTATCTCAACTGCGTTTTCGGAAGATTCAGACTCAGCTTTCGATGTAGAAGGAGTCGCATCCTTTTGGTTCGGAAAATGTAAGAGTGTATTGTGACGCTGATTACATTCCTTGCATAAGTGCTTGCTTTGGCACTGTGCGGAGGAGTGCTTAATTGAGAAGCAATTAACGCACCGTTTTTGTTTTCGTATAAAATGAAAGCGCTCGGAAACTGGTTGCGAAAGAAATTTCGGACATTGGTAGATTAAGTGAGTTTGTTGACACACCGGACAAGTAATTTTTTGAGATGTCGCGGAATGGGTTGAAATCGCTCTCGATTTAAATTGTTTACATTTATCAACGTCGTTCGCTTTTTCGCGTTTTGGATTAGGCATTGCTTCGAGTGCGCGAATTCTTTTTCTTAAAAACGCGTCGAATTCTTCATACGTAGGAAAGTCGGTCGCTTCACTAAGATGAAATTCCCAAGCCTTTCGCGATGAACGATCTAATTTTTGCGTTGCTAGAAAAACGATCATGTCATCCCACTTGTCGACCGGTCGGTTTAAATTTCTTAACATTTCGAGAGATATGTTTATTCCATCGCGCAACGCACGAAGGTCGTGAGCGTTTTCGGCCGCTACAGACGGAATCGAAAATAACGTGTTCAAATGCGTTGAAATTAACCGTTGTTTGTTTTCGTAACGCGACGTTATGATCTTCCACGCAATGTCAAAGTTTTTGTCTGTTATAGGAAGGTGACTCACGGCGCGGCTTGCTTCACCCGTTAACGATGAATTCAAAAATTGAAGGCGGTCAATGTTTGATAAAGAATCATTATTTTTTACCAGTGAGGTGAAGCGGTCACGGAAACTCTCCCATTCGGTGAAGGCGCCATCGAAGGTCGGCAGTTGAATCTTTGGTAGATGAATCGTTGACTTCGACGTCGTTGAGTTTGAATTTGCGTTGGTAGATTGCGGTGGAGGCGTGGTGTTAGGAATCGGAATTATCGACCGATAATTGCTGGCAGTCAATAGTTCTCCTATTACCGCTTTGTAAAGCGCTCGCTCCTCTGCTGTCCCCACCACCGCTCTTTCTCTCTCGATCCACTGGTTTTCTTACCACGAGCTACGTGCTACCTTACTTATTCGAAAGAAACGGAAGAGAAAGGATCGCGAAACAGAAAGAAAGAGAGAGAGAGACCAACGGAGTGCGGACACAGAGGAACGGGTTGCAACTTTATACAAAAATCACTCAAGTACACTAAATCAACTTTATTCTGTGACTGTAAAATAAACTGACCATTTACAAACTAATAACTGGAAGCTTCAGTCACCCCGATAGCAGTTAAACAATCTAAACTTAAACATTGGTCCTTCGAGCCGGATAAAAATCGAGGTGAGTGAAGCCTTACATCAATCCAATTACAACAATTAATTACAATCGGCTTAAACTAATCCAATTAACGGCGAAAAATTAACGGTTGTCCTTGACCGGGCGCGTGGAGATAAACACCTGGCATAAACTCGTCGCTCACCTGTGTATATTTTTTGCCCTGAAACAATGGAGAAGTTCGTTACAAAGCAGCTCGATTTGTTCAAACGTATTTCATCGACGGTGGAAAATATGAAAAAGCTGGGTGCAGCTAAAATAACCAAAGGGGTGGTTAAATCTCGCTTGGAGCTCTTGGAAAGAAACTGGAATACATTTTCCGAGACGCACGATCAACTCCTTGACGCGTTTGCAGCAACCGAAAAGGACAGTCCGTATTTCAAAAAGGACTACATGGGCGCTGGCGAAGAGGCGTACGTCCAACAAAAGGCAATATTGCTGGACCTATTGGAGGAAAAGCTAGCCGAAAACTCCGCAGGTAAGACCGAATCATCTCATGGATCTTCAACTCTCCGGTCTTTACCTAAAATCACGCTGCCTAGCTTTTCCGGTGATTACAACAGCTGGTCGAACTTTCGCGATCTATTTCAATCTTTAATCATTAATAATGAAGCTCTCTCTCTCGTTGAAAAGCTACATTATCTGAAAATAAGCTTATCTGGTGAGCCAGCTCAATTACTGCAACATATACCAGTAGCCGGTGACAACTTTGAACGGGCTTGGAACGCAATTACGCAACGCTATCAAAACTTACGGGTCCTGATTACCTCTCAACTGGCATCCTTAACGGCACTTCCTCCGATGAAAAGAGAATCGGCGCGAGACCTGAAAGAATTGCTTAACGGCACAACGGACGCCGTCCAAGCTCTGGAGGCCATGAAGCGACCAGTCCAACACTGGGATGACTGGCTCGTCTTCATAACCGCCGAAAAACTGGATTCCAAAACAAGAATGGGATGGGAAACAGCCATTGGATCAACATCAGATCCTCCAACGCTTGCACAATTAACGACGTTTCTCACCTCAAAACTGCGAGCCTTGGAAGCTGTGGAAGGAGCATCCGGTTCATCAGCAACAACTACGAACGCAATCGAAGCCCAGAAGCAAGGGAAGAGGACGTCCGTCAACTCCACGCTTCGTCTCAAGGCGCACGCGACGCACACCGCTGGAGAAGGATCTCGAAGGTGCCTCATTTGTCAAAAGGACCACTTCATTCTGTTTTGCCCGACCTTCAAGGGGATGAATCCGCGTGAGAGAAAGCAGCTGGTAACAGAAAAGCGACTGTGTTATAATTGCTTGGCTCCACACTCTTCACAAGCTTGTAAGTCCACTAAACGGTGCCAAGTTTGCGTTGGTAAGCATCATACCTCTCTTCATTATAATTTTGAACAATCTTCTGCTGCTCGCTCTTCTCTTTCCAAACAGGTGCCAGACTCGAATCGCGAGTCGATCGACGATCCGCAACAGGAGCCATCCGCTTCAATTTCTGAAAAGGTTACACATTGCGCAATGACTTCCTGCTCAGTAACCTCCGCTGTATCGGTCATACTTGCTACCGCGGAACTAATGCTAGAGTCCGACCAGGGAAGGAGAGTGGTAGTGAGAGCTTTAATCGATCCTTGCTCAGAGGTTTCTTTGATGGAGGAGAGCGTGGCTCAGATTCTAAATCTAAAGCGGGTATCTGATAAAATTCCGGTTATTGGCGTCGGAAAGACGCAAACTTACACGAAAGGTAGGGTCTCTCTTCGCATATTTTCTCGCGTGGACCAAACTATATCGTATCGCCTCTCGGCATACGTTCTTCCAAAACTATCGTCCTACCAAGCGGCGAAATCTTCGTGTCCTTCCACATTAGCTCATTTGGAGGGATTAGAACTGGCCGACCCTAACTTTCTTTCTTCGCGGCATATTAATCTAATCTTGGGAGCGGATATCTACGCTCAAATAATAAGAGCGGGTCTAAAACAAGGCCCACCTAACACGCCAATTGCTCAAGCCACCTCACTTGGGTGGATTTTAACTGGGCCGTTAAGGCACTCTACAAACTCAAACAACAATACTAATCTAGCTATCTCGTTGCAGTGTTCCATGCGAGAATCAGATCTGGTTGAGACGCTTACTCGCTTTTGGAAAATTGAGGAAATTCCCTCAAAATCTAATCTGTTAACCGAGGAGGAAAAAATGTGTGAGGATCACTTTGTAAAAACACATAGGCGAGAAAAATCTGGAAGGTATGTCGTTTGTTTACCTTTTAAATCTTCGTCTTCAGAACTAGGCGAAAGCAAGGAAGCCGCAAGTGCTCTCCTCTCAAAACTTGAAAAACGCTTTCAACGCGATGTCGATCTTCAAAAAGCCTATTGCGATTTCTTGTTTGAATACGAAGACTTGGGTCACATGGAGCGCATCCCTGAACCGATAAAAATACAAAAATCAGCCTACTATCTGCCGCATCACGGCGTGCTACGAGAATCAAGTTCAACTACAAAACTGAGAGTAGTCTTTAACGCGTCGTTTAAAACTTCAACGGGTGTTTCTTTAAACGACTTGGTTCACACAGGTCCCAATCTTCTTCCCGAAATCTTCTCAATACTCTTAAAATGGCGCAAGCACGCCATAGCTTTCTCAGCAGATGTTGAAAAAATGTACCGCCAAATTCGGGTGGATGAGAAGGACTGTGATTACCAGAGAATCGTTTGGAGAAGCAACGCTAATCAACCAGTAACAAGCTATCGTCTCTTAACAGTAACTTACGGAACTGCGTGCGCTCCATATCTTGCAATTCGCACGCTCAAACAACTGAGTAGGGACGAAGAGGAGGGATATCCACTGGCAGCTCATTGCCTCCGAAACGACGTTTACGTTGATGACGTAATTTCGGGGTCAGATAATCTGGAAGAGGCCAGTCAGCTTCAGCAACAATTAATCGAGTTGTTGAGGGCGGGCGGCTTCAAACTGCGGAAATGGACCTCAAACAATACTGAACTTTTAAGCAAGCTGCCAGCGGATTATGTCGCCTCCTCTTCCGACCGATCATGTAACTTCGACAGTGTCTCAACACTTCTGGGTCTGAAATGGAGCACTGCCTCGGACTGCTTTTTGTTTTCTACTCGGCCACGGTCAGATACTCAATTTGTCACTAAAAGAATGGTATTTAGCGAGATAGCGGGTCTCTACGATCCCTTGGGTCTTTTAGCTCCGGTGGTCACTCTGGCAAAAATCTTTATGCAATCATTATGGCTTTTAAACTTAAACTGGGATGATCCGCTTTCGGATCAACTACAAACATTCTGGATAAATTTCCATGCGGGACTGAACGCTCTCTCCTCCCTTAGAATTCCTCGCTGGATTTCGGTAACGCAAATAGGAAATATTTATGAACTTCACGAGTTTGCCGACGCTTCTGAGAAGGCTTATGCAGCCGTTATCTATATACGAGTAATTCCGGAAAGCCCGGAATCCGACCTACGTGTCAATCTAATTGCGGCAAAAACGCGAGTCGCTCCCCTAAAGCAAGTTTCGCTGCCACGACTTGAGCTGTGCGCAGCTACACTACTGGTTCGCTTAATGAAAACTGTAAAAACTACTCTGGACTTACCTAAAAGCTCTCTTCATCTTTGGTCGGACTCTTCCATTGTTCTTAGCTGGCTGCAACAGCACCCTACCAAATGGAAGACCTTCGTCGCCAATCGGGTCTCAGAAATTCAAACAACGCTACCCGAAACAACTTGGCGACACATACGTTCCGCCGAGAACCCGGCCGACGTTGCCTCTCGCGGAATATCTGGGGAAAAAATAGCTTCATGTAAACTCTGGTGGGAAGGACCCCCTTTTCTTTCTCTACGAAACCACAATCTGGATAAATACCTTCTAAAAAATCTGGTTACGGATCAGGAAGCTACCTCGTTTCTGGAAGAGTTCATAAGCAGATATTCATCAATGCAAAAACTTTGTAAAATCGCAAGCTGGTGCTTACGCTTTCGAAAACGGGAAGCGGTCGAAAAAACGACGTTCGAAAATCGAAACGTTCTAAGTGCATGCGAAATTCACAAAGCACGACTCACCTTAATTCGCGGCGTTCAAACAATCTCGTTTTCCACGGAAAAGGCTCTTCTTGCACAGTCTGCTTCTCTCTCTCGCGGACCTCTTGTCCGACTTAACCCCTTCGTCGACGACAACGGACTTCTTCGAGTCGGCGGACGTTTAAAACACTCGTTACTGGATTTTCAAGAAAAACACCCAATTATTCTGCCAACTAAAGGTCACTTCGTAACTCTACTAATCCGCGAAGCTCACGAAAAAACTCTTCATGGCGGAGTACAACTTACCTTAGCATCTCTTCGTCAACGATACTGGATTTTGGCCGCTCGACGCTCTGTACGCACTTACATTCACTCGTGCATAACTTGCTGGAAATGGCTCGCGAAAACTACGCAGCAGCAAATGGCTGATCTCCCCACCACTCGCGTACGACCGACTAGGCCGTTCACAAATACCGGTGTCGATTACGCTGGGCCTTTCCTCATAAAAACTAGTCCCGGACGAGGACACCACACTCGCAAAGCCTATGTCGCTGTCTTTGTCTGCCTTTCCACTCGAGCAATTCACTTAGAACTGGTGTCGGATTATACGACTGATGCTTTTCTTGCAGCTTATCGACGCTTTGTCTCTCGCAGAGGAATGTGTTCCATTCTTACCAGCGATCAAGGTACAAATTTCGTTGGCGCCGATCGAGAACTGCGTCGGCTCTTCTCTGCCGCGAAATTTGATTTCAATACACTGGCTAGCTCCTTAGCACTGGACGGAACAACATGGAAATTCAACCCTCCGGCCGCCCCTCACTTCGGCGGTATTTGGGAGGCAGCAGTGAAGTCCATGAAGTTTCACTTGAGGCGAGTGGTGGGGGAGACACCGCTCACGTTTGAGGAAATGTCCACCGTTCTGGCTCAAATTGAGGCGTGCCTAAACTCTCGCCCCCTGGCGCCCTTAGGAACTGACCCTGATTGTAATGAATTTTTAACGCCAGGTCATTTTCTCGTAGGAGCTCCGCTCACAGCCGTGCCTGAACCGTCGCTGATCGACCAAAAACCGGCACGTTTAACACGCTGGCAGTTACTCCAACAGATGCGCGATCACTTTTGGAAACGTTGGGCGGCGGAGTACCTGCAGCATCTTCAGGCTCGTACCAAATGGTCTCAACCTCAACCTAACGCGCAACCGGGCGACCTGTGTATGGTTACGTCGGAAGCTACTCCACCTACCAAATGGCCGATCGGTCGAATAATCGAGACGTACCCCGGTGATGACAACAAGGTTCGAGTCGTCCTGGTTAGAACACCGTTCGCGACGCTGAAGCGACCTGTCACCAAACTCTGCTTATTCCCGACAACGCCGGCAGGGAACTAAACTGCATCTTCAATGACCTCACCAACACTAGTCGTTCGTCGTGTAGACGAAGGCGGGCGGAATGTTAGGAATCGGAATTATCGACCGATAATTGCTGGCAGTCAATAGTTCTCCTATTACCGCTTTGTAAAGCGCTCGCTCCTCTGCTGTCCCCACCACCGCTCTTTCTCTCTCGATCCACTGGTTTTCTTACCACGAGCTACGTGCTACCTTACTTATTCGAAAGAAACGGAAGAGAAAGGATCGCGAAACAGAAAGAAAGAGAGAGAGAGACCAACGGAGTGCGGACACAGAGGAACGGGTTGCAACTTTATACAAAAATCACTCAAGTACACTAAATCAACTTTATTCTGTGACTGTAAAATAAACTGACCATTTACAAACTAATAACTGGAAGCTTCAGTCACCCCGATAGCAGTTAAACAATCTAAACTTAAACACGTGGCCTTGGCGAGGACCTCCGCCATGTAGTCCAGAGCTTCTTGGTACCTTTCTTCGGATTCGATGAACTGGTTGTCGACGAAATACGGCAGACTGGACTTCGTCGCGTTGTCGGTGCATGCTGCTATCCTTGCGTCCAGATCTTGGCTTTGGATGTATGCTTCTTTTAACATTGCCATCCGGTTTTGAGTTGTGGCTGCGGTCATTTTTGCTTGACCGAGCTTTTTAAAATTGAGAAGCGCACGATCAATAGATCGTAACGTTTGAGTTTGCTTGTACAGCAATTCTTCAAGGTGACTCATGGCCGTTAACGAGTTAAATTGTCGGTTTTAGGTTCACGATTACCGGTGTATCCTCGATTCCCATCCGGCTCGAAGGACCAAATTTTGTTCTCGGCGAGAATTGGAATTTTTGGGATGGCGTGGATTCCGTCTTTTCAAAGACGTGGGCGTCGAGGAGAAGATAAACGACACAGCTTAGCGGTCACGAATTATGTATTACTGATAATTTGTACACAATGAGTCGTAAATTAAACTTTACAAAAATCACCTTTGGTTTAATTTGGAATTACACGATTTAGGAATCCGCGGTGCAAGGCACTGAATTGAATTTGAGAATGCTCGAAACTCGAGTAAAGAAACGTTTTTGGTCGCTGTTGTCGCTTGGTAATCGCTCTCTCACTTGCTTTCGCATTAATGCTAACGGTTCGAATTTGGGAGTTTTAATTGGCGAGCACTCGGATCGGTGGTTAGACAGCGCAACAGCGATTCCGTTTACTTGCTAGGTGACGACGGGATTATCGACCCGTGTTATCGACCGAGGTGTTTGTATGAATTGAAGTGCCAAATTCGAACACACCTCATGGAATTAAACCAAACCCAGACAAAATTGATGCTATAATAAAGTATCCCCTTCCAACTACGCAAAAAGGGATTAAAGCATTTCTAGGACTCACCGGCTACTACCGGAAGTTTATTAGAGATTATGCAAAAATAACCAAACCCCTCACGAAAGTGCTCAAGAAAGGAGAAAAAATCGATTGCGAAGATGGGGATCTCATCGAATCATTTAATAAATGTAAAGAGTTAATCACCAATGCGCCCATATTAAAATACCCTGACTTTGAGAAACAGTTTCACATCACTTCAGACGCATCGAACGTCGCGATCGGAGCTGTCTTATCTCAAGAAGGACACCCTATATCATATTATTCAAGGACGCTGAATACAGCCAAACAAAAATACTCTACAATAGAAAAAGAGTTGCTAGCCATAGTGGAAGCATGTAGACATTTTCGACCGTACATTTATGGAAAAAAGTTCATTATCGAAACTGATCATAAGCCGCTTACTTGGCTCTGGTCTTTAAAAACGCCTAACTCCCGACTAATCCGCTGGAGGATCAAGTTAGAAGAGTACGATTACGAGGTGAAATACAAAAAGGGTTGCGAAAATAATGTAGCCGACGCTTTAAGTCGAATAGAAATAAACATCGAAGAATCAGAAGAAGATGACTCACTATCGATGTTACCTCAAGTGCCGGATGACACTCCTCTCACTATCGAAGAAGTGGATGAAATGCTAGATGATGCAACAGTCCATACCGCTGAAGAGGACCCGGTTTTCTCATTACCTATAACAGATAAAAATATTCATGCATTCAACTACAGTATAATAATTAAAGGAGGCAACGATTATCAAGTAAAAACGAATAAGGACAAACTTAAAATACAATATATAGTAAAAATTAATAAGCAAAATGCAGAAACGCAATTGCTTAAGTTTCTTAATGAAAACGTAAAACCAGATAAGCAATATGGCATTTATTTTGCAAATGAAGAATTAGGAGTTGCCACTTACAGGACATTAAAGGAACATTTCAACGAGAAATTAAAATTGATCAAAACAAATACCTGCACACCTTCGGTCAACCGAAATAGCTTTATGAAAGAACTTGAAAAATACCATAACCAAACTCATAATGGAATACAAGAAACAATAGCACATTTTAAGAGGAAACTGTACACACTTAATATGGATAGAATTATTCAAAATTATATAAATCAGTGCGAAACATGCCTTGAGCATAAATATGAAAGAAGGCCCTGCGAGACAGAAACTTACGGACCCATAATTGCTAATAGACCGCTTCAACATATACACATGGACATTTTTCATTTCAATAAGGAAAAATTTCTTACCATTATAGATATTTTCTCTAAATACGCTCAAGCTTATCATTTGCCTGACGGAAATGCCACCACTATATTAAATAAACTACGACATTTCTCTTCGCATCATAATTTTCCAGATAAGATTACTACAGATAGCGGTAGCGAATTTAATTCGACCGTATTTAAAGAATTTTGCAGGATTCATAAAATTGATTATCATCAAACCACCATTAACAGACATACGTCGAATGGACCCATAGAAAGATTACACTCTACCTTAAAGGAAAAATTAAGTATATTAATAGATCAAAACCCAAGGGAAACAACCAAAAATCACATGACTACAGCTATTCTAATATATAACCAAAGTATTCACTTCTCAACAAATTATGCCCCATTCACTCTCTTATACGGTCCCTATAAAGAATTACATAAACACATTATAGATCCCGATAGTGATACCATTGAAAAATATAACGAAATTAGAAAAAAGGAAATTTTACCGTTCTATGAAAAATTATACCAAAAACAACTACAGAAGCAACATCTACCTAATAATTCGGATGAAACGTTGGAAAGTAGGGAAATGTTCGTTAAAACGCATCAGCAACAACGCGATAAAACTGCTCCCCGTTATCAAAGGTTACTTGTAGAGAAACAACAAGGCCCCTCATTAGACTGCCATATACACGGACAGCAACGCCGCTATAACTTAAGAGATGCCAAAAGATTAAGAAAAGTCTCTTCATTTTTACAGGATGAAAATAATATTGACCCTGACGATCTCAATTATACTCGTGAAGAGTATCCAAATTAATCCAAACGCAACGCATTACAACTATCAACAAGGAATCGGAAGGATTATGGAAAATTATCAC